AAATCATGTCACTCTAAGTGCAACATGAAGGCAATCTGTGTTAGCCGGTGTTCCCATAGTGGCAATTATTTTACACCAGCATTATCATTTCTTCTGTTTTCTGAATGGTAGTATTTAACATGAGGCTTACAGGGATTAGGCAATGAATTAGTCACATCTCTGGTGGAGCCAGACATAATGTGATAGGGATAGGTAATCGTCTTCTGCAGATATATAATTCACTATTAATAGCCTTTCTAACTCTAAATTTAACCATGACAAATCATTGTATTTCTGAGTCATTTTCCAGACTGCTCTCACTGCCATCTTCCCTCTTCCTCCTCTAACCTATTTCAAAGAGTTCCTGCTCCTGGCCCAAATGTGTCACACCTAACAAGGCTTGCTGCAAATTTAGGCTGTCAATATGTGTCAGGCCTCATTCATCAGCTATCACTCTTTAACTCAGCTGTACCTCTTCTTTCGCATTTCATCACTAGAAGGCTTGGCTTTGCCCCGAGCTTGCGTCGTTCAGTTTCACCCCCAGGTCCTCTGCTTCAAGGTGTAAAAGCAACGACACTGGCTGCCCTTGCTAAACCTGAGCGCAATAAGAGAAAACAAAGGAAGGTGCTGGGGGTAGACACTGTGTAGCTGATTGTGTATCTCTCAGCAGAACTGTGGTCCACGTAGTGACTGCTGCTTGACATTATCTGCTCTGTTCTCATTGACTGGTTCTGGCAGGCATGAGAATCTCACACCTGTATGAGATACTTGTCTACTGAGTGTCAGCATACTGACATGCAGTAACACATTTTTTTAAAACTTTTTTTTGTCACAATGAAAATAAAGCTATTTCATTGTATTGTGTATTTTTTGTTCCCAGGGCCTGAAAGGTGACCTAGGGCCAGTTGGCCCAATTGGTCCCAAGGGAAACAAAGTGAGTGAGTCTGCCATACATAATGGGCTGAACAAAATGTCATTATTGTTTTTTTTTTGGGGTTTTTCTTCTCAACTTTAGGCCAGTGGTAAAATAATTAATCCTTTACTCCAGTAACTGCCTGTAGCTCCATGTTTGTGTTACAGTACTGAGTAATTAGTGTTTTTTTTTTTTTTACCACCAATTTGACAGATGTCCTGTAAAGAGAGACTCGAGCACTGCTTGAGTCTACTAACAGATGCTTTAAGTTTAATGTTTAGTTCGTACATTGCCTAACAACACTTCTGGATCAAAGGGGGATATCTGTTCTCCCTGAAAACATAATGCAGCCTTCATGCTGTTCTGGACAGCTAAATACCTCATTTCTGAGTCTCTCGGTAACACTTACACTTCACATATTCATGGAATGAGTTTTAAAAGTGCGATCAAATTCAAACGTAAGCCATTTTTGCCAAGTTAACAGATGTTCTGCTTTGTGAACATGTTGATATATTAGTATGATAGTATTTTTTTATTGTTGTTGTTTTTTTTTTGTAATTTAATAGATGATGCTGAAGTATGTCATCCTTATATGGCTGAATCAAATAATGTACATGCAGTGGAAGTACTCAGATTGTTTATTTAGGTAAAATAGCAATACAGTGTAAAAATACTCTGTTACAAGTAAAAGTCCTGCTTTCAAAATGTCGCATAAGTAAAAATACAAAAGTATTAGCAGAAAATGTACTTAAAGTACTAAAGGTACTCATTATGCAAAATAGGACTGTTTACATTGATGTACATCATATTATTTGATTATAATTTTTGATGTATTCTTGTGTACATCACACTTTTTGTTGCACTTGGTAAAGGTAGAGCTAATTTTAACTACCTATATGCTTATAATGCTTGTCAACTTTACACCAAGGATCAGTAAGTCCTGTGATTAAACTCTACTTACTGTTTTATTAACCTTTTTTTCTGAAAAGTAACTAGTAACTAAAGTTATCCAATAAATGTAGTGAGTACAAAGTACAATATATATATTTTTTTGAAATGTAGTGAAGTTGAAGTATGAAGTAGCAGAAAATGAAAATAGTCAAAGTACACATACCTCAAAACTGTACTTAAGAACAGTAATTACACTTCGTTACTTTCGACCTCTGGTCATGTGGTTTGTGAAATTGGCAGAACCTTAAGTTGTTTACGTCTTTTTTTTATCAGATGAGCCTTTTACTCTGAATCGCCTTTGTTTCTGCCAAAGCTCTGTTAATAACTCAGAGGGAAATTTGCCCCTGGATCCTGTTGTGTAAAATGATGCCCTGGTAAAGTGGTTAGGCTGTCGATTTAAATAAAGAATGGTGCTCTCACGCACCACCATGAGACAGCCGCCCCTATTACTGACAGTGTGCATGGGCTGAGAGCCCTCACAGAGTGATACAATCTGATAAAATCATGTCACTCTAAGTGCAACATGAAGGCAATCTGTGTTAGCCGGTGTTCCCATAGTGGCAATTATTTTACACCAGCATTATCATTTCTTCTGTTTTCTGAATGGTAGTATTTAACATGAGGCTTACAGGGATTAGGCAATGAATTAGTCACATCTCTGGTGGAGCCAGACATAATGTGATAGGGATAGGTAATCGTCTTCTGCAGATATATAATTCACTATTAATAGCCTTTCTAACTCTAAATTTAACCATGACAAATCATTGTATTTCTGAGTCATTTTCCAGACTGCTCTCACTCCCATCTTCCCTCTTCCTCCTCTAACCTATTTCAAAGAGTTCCTGCTCCTGGCCCAAATGTGTCACACCTAACAAGGCTTGCTGCAAATTTAGGCTGTCAATATGTGTCAGGCCTCATTCATCAGCTATCACTCTTTAACTCAGCTGTACCTCTTCTTTCGCATTTCATCACTAGAAGGCTTGGCTTTGCCCCGAGCTTGCGTCGTTCAGTTTCACCCCCAGGTCCTCTGCTTCAAGGTGTAAAAGCAACGACACTGGCTGCCCTTGCTAAACCTGAGCGCAATAAGAGAAAACAAAGGAAGGTGCTGGGGGTAGACACTGTGTAGCTGATTGTGTATCTCTCAGCAGAACTGTGGTCCACGTAGTGACTGCTGCTTGACATTATCTGCTCTGTTCTCATTGACTGGTTCTGGCAGGCATGAGAATCTCACACCTGTATGAGATACTTGTCTACTGAGTGTCAGCATACTGACATGCAGTAACACATTTTTTTAAAACTTTTTTTTGTCACAATGAAAATAAAGCTATTTCATTGTATTGTGTATTTTTTGTTCCCAGGGCCTGAAAGGTGACCTAGGGCCAGTTGGCCCAATTGGTCCCAAGGGAAACAAAGTGAGTGAGTCTGCCATACATAATGGGCTGAACAAAATGTCATTATTGTTTTTTTTTTAATTAAAATAGATACTTCAGGGATTCTGCTTGACTTTCATGAGCTATAATCCCAGTCTCAATAATGTGCCCATCTGTTTGAAGTGCTGCTATGATTGCTTCTCCAAACATGACCAGCTAAAGAATATTGTTATTACTATCATAACTTAGCAAGACATTATGTGTGGTCAAATATAGCAGTTTTATACTGGCCAAGGAAATATTTTCCACTCACTATATTTTGAAATGTATTTGTATATTTATAGGGATGGCTGGTTGTAATGGACATACCCAACAAAATCCCTTTATCTTGCTCTCTAAATATTTTTATGAGATGAAAGCCTACAGCAAAATGTGCATCACATATCATTGCCCTTTGTTTCAGGGCCTGCTCACAGGGATTTGTGATTATATATATATGTTTTTATATTTGGTCTCACATATCAGATATATGTCCTATACAGTAGGCTATGAAAGCCTGAGTATTAAAACATGCCTGAAGTGCAGCAGAGGGGTTTGATGTCTGTTCTTATCTGCAGCCCCTTTATGGTCTATTTGTGACACTGCTATGGATTAGATTAAAACTCTTGCATTGCAGAGAATATTGGTGTTTTTAAAAGTTTTTTTCATCCCACAGTGTGGTTATTTTCTATGAATGAGATGAAATGTGTTTTTCCTATAATTAGCTGCCATATCTCCAGCTCCTTTATTTCCCCTCTCTTAAAAGGGCTTTCTTTTTTTGTTGATGTTGTTGTTGTCTTTTGGTAGAACTCACTGCATAATTGTAGGTGCAGAGCTGTGTCTGCCAACCTTGAAGTTATAATGAGGTCTCTGTGTTTCTATGAAGACAATAGCAAATCACAGTGTA